TCCTCCTCCTCCTCCTCCTCTTCCTCCTCCTCCTCCTCCCTTTGTCGCCTGACTGTGTGTCTTCTCCCTCAGGTCTGTCCATGGCGGTCGTCCCCGGCCCGTTGCTGTCTCCTCCTGGTGTCTCCCTGCAGGTGGCGCCTCCTGCTGGTCACTCGGTGCTGCTGGTGTCCAACCTTAACCCAGAGGTCAGAGTTCACGCTGTCTCCGGCGCTGCTCTCTCAGGTGACCGTACTGACCCTGTTTGTCTCCGCAGAGCGCCTCTCCTCGCTGCCTCTTCATCCTGTTTGGTGAGAGCCTCCGTTGTTCGTCAGCGGGACGCTGAGACGTGGACGTGGACGTGGACGTGGACGTGGATGTTGACGGCGTGTTTGTGTGTTTTCAGGTGTTTATGGAGACGTTCAGAGAGTTAAAATCCTCTTCAACAAGAAGGAAAACGCTCTGGTTCAGATGAGCGACGCCACTCAGGCTCAACTCGGTCCGGCGCTTCTTCGCCTGCACATCATATCTAACACATTTACTGACACAATGAAGGACAAATCATGTTAATACTTCTACTACATGTTTTATTTAAATATTACCAACAGCAGGAAGCTCTAAAGTCAGTTAAATCATTTGATTCATTAATACAAGAGTTGTAATTATCTTAAATCCATGTTTGCATGATGGAAAAATGATCTTACATCATCGATTTGAGATGTTTTACAGACTTTATGTAAAGCTTTGAAAAAACACCAACCAGTTCACATTTTAAACAAGAAACACCTGAAATTAAAATATTAAAGATGAATATTAGATATATAATATATTCTCACTCCTGACAGCGATGAGTCATCTAAACGGGCATCGTCTCCGGTGCACATGAGCGACCGGGTCCTCTCGGCGCCGGAGGGAGCCACGTTCAAACTCCGTCTCTTCGGCACGGAGCTCAACGGGAGCTGGCCGTGGGTGGCGTTCGCCGCGGGCGCGAGCGCCGGGGCGGTCGGGGATGCGCCCGACCCGTGCGCGCTGGAGCCCAACCGCCGCGGCTCCTGGTTCCAGGTGACGGGCCCCTTCGCCGCGGACGAGGCGTACAGCGGGCTGGCGACGGTGGAGGTCCGGCGGCAGGGCGCCTCCTCCTCCTCCTCCTCCTCCGCCTCCTCCCTCCACCACCTGTGCGTGCGGAGCGGCGGGGGGTGGGCGTCCGCCGGCCCGGACAAGCTGCGGGTCAGCGCGGACTCGGGTCTGCCGGAGGACCACATCCCGGCCTGGGGGCTCGCGGCGCTGGTCGTGACGCTGCTTCCGGCGGTGGCGCTGCTGAGGACGGTGCAGCTGAGCCTGCTGTGGCTGGACCCCGTGGAGCTCTACGTGCTGCACAGCTGCGGCTCCGAGGAGGAGAAGCGGGCCGCCAAGCGCCTGGAGCCCATCCGGAGGAGGGGGAACTTCCTGGTGAGTCCCGGCGGGCGGAACCACGGTGCAAGTACTCGTCACAGCGAAGTACAACGCGTACATGTACTCACTGCGCGCAACCTCAGGCCTTCATATTATTATAAGTGTTATTTTAATGTCGCAGCTGTTTACACTGCTGTATATGGATATTATATATATTTAATACATGTAGCAGAGCGGAAAGTACAATGTTTAAAGTACAGTACTTTAGTACATTCACTTTGTTCACATTTATAAATGCATAATAAGTGTTATTAATCCAAGTGTCCCCTCAGACGTGCTCCCTGCTCTTCCTCTGCGCCCTGGGACACGCCGTCCTCGGCGTCGTCCTCTACCGCGCGCTGGGCACCGTCGTCTCCGCCGTCTTCGCCAGCGGCTTCCTGGTCTTCCTGCTGGCCGAGCTGGCCCCCCACGTGCTGTGCTCCGGCTACGGCTTCCAGATGGCGCCGGGGCTCACCTGGCTGGCCCAGGTGTGCCTGGTGCTCACCTGCCCGCTGTCCTGCCCCCTGGGGCTGATCCTGGACCTGGCGCTGAGGCGGGACGTCAGCACCTGCGGGATAAGGGAGCGGGCCATGGAGATGATCCGCACCAGCGTCAACGACCCGTACAGGTGAGATGACCCCCCCGGAGGAGGAAAAGGTGGTGTTGAAGGGGCAAGCTCCTTCGTCTCTCTCACTGGGGTTTCCGGTCCCAGGGAGTTTTGTAAAGGGAGGAGTCCACCCCCCGGGATGCTGCCGCATATAGACGGGGGAGACATTCCTGGACCCCGCTGAGGAATGCTTCATGCTGCCCAGCTCCGTCGTCCTGGACTTCTTCCCCATGTCCGAA